GTTGTGGGAGTAAAGCCTGCCATTCCTGCCTCCACTTTGGCATCTGGCTACCTAGGCTATCCTCCTAGAGTGCACTGTGAAATGTGTGGCCGTTGCAAATGTTACAGGTAGTCATATATTTTAGGAGTTTTTGTGTGTGTTAACTGCAGGAAAAGCCTTGCAAAATAGTGTGTAATTTCTAGAGAGAGAGAATGACTAAGTTTTGTTTTAATGAGATGTTCATTATACCTATCCCAGCCTCTATATCACTTTATGAGCATTATAATCCTCAGTCATTTGAGCTGAGTGCAGATCCCAAGGTGTTCCTGATTGTGGGATGTAATCCTGCTGATGGCTTTAGTTTTCTGCTAGTTTCCTCTTGACTTGCTCTTTACAGAATGTCAGAATAGCTGAGGTCGGAAGGGAGACCATCCTGTCCAACCCCTGGCTATAGCAGGGTCACCCAGAGCCAGTTGCCCAGGACTGAATCCAGTCAGGTTTGAATATTTCCAGAGACAGAGACTCCACAACCTCCCTGGGAACCAGCCTCACAGTACCCTTGTGTTCAGATGAAATTTCATGTGTTTCAAGCTGTTCCTGTTACCACTTGCCTTGCTGAGATGAGTAGAACAAGAGTAGCCCTTTTAAAATGAAAGGCATGACACTCCTGAGGGCTGTGACTTCCAGGTATGGTTTGGAGGTTAATGTGCAAACTTCACATTGCTGGTAAAAAGTCATTCTGTAATTACAAGTGACCAGAGGAATAGCTGGGAAATAATGCAGGAGAATGTGTTCCGTTACCCGGTACTCGAGTGCTAGACCCTGGCACTTTTCCAGGAACTGCATTCCTAATTAAATTTTACAACATTGGTAACTATGATCCCTAAGGCAAGTGGATCAGGCTTTTCTACCCAAAGAGGGAAGCGGTCCAGGGAGATTCCCTGGCAGCAGTTCTCTCCTGAACATGTGTGAGAGTGGTGTGGGTGTATGGGCACTAAAATCAGTGTCTTCGTTGGCACACCCTGGTGTCTTGAGCTCCAGGAACCTGGGGTTATAGTTTATGTTTAAAATAGTGCCTGGATCTAATATAAACCACAGATGGTTTTGTGTGATGTCTACTATCTGAGGATTTAAAATGCATTTTTCTTATGAATGTGCATCCTTTTGGACAATGGTCTGCGACACAGAAATCTAAACATTACATTTCACTGCACTGGCGTGTGTTGAGGTTCTCCTAGAACTGTGAGATTTGTGGTGGGTCTTACTGCCTTTGGATTAATTATTTGAGTTGAATTGTACCAAATACGAACATGCTTTGTGTTATAATTTTGCAAGTATTTGTGAATAAAGGAGTGGAACTTGATTGAAGTAATGGAGACTGCTCTCGGGACTAAAGCACATTAAGATTTTATTATTACATTGACTTTTGAAAAATAATATGACATTGTGTTTCATGTGTTTGTGAATGAGCCAGTTGGAAAAGTATGCTCTACAGAAAAAAAAAAGTCTTTCTAATGTTAAGAATACCCTGTAAATTTTCCCTTCATCTGAGATTTAGCAGTTTTTTCATTCCTTTCACTTAATAGAGTTTCGTATTTGTTGAATATTGTACATTGTTTAGATCTTCTGTCTGTGTAACCAATTTTCCTACCTTTGCAAGTGCTTTCAATGCATATTGTACTTCAGGCCTGTATAAAATCACAGTTTCAAGTAAACAAGGTTCCCAACTTACTTTATAAGATGACAACTGTCATCCCTCAATAGGACATCTATCGAATGCCATCTTGGTTGTGTGCATTCTTTGTTACTGTTTGTTGGGTTCTTTTTTTTCCTAAAAAGGCAGGGTTAGTGCTTTACAATTTCTAAGTAAAAGAAATCAAGTTACATTATAACTGGTTTTAGCCATGTGCTGCTATTTTTTTTTTTTCCTAGGAATTTTTTAGGCATAGTGTGTGTCTAATGAGATGGATCTTTTGATTATGTGGGGGGAATATCTCTCTTGTCTTCAGTTCTTTCAAATATTCCATTTGAAAGGGCTGATGAGTTTCCAGTAGACCTTTTTGGGAGTTGAGTGCCAGCTTTCTCTATGGGGTTTATTATTCTGATTGTGACCAAATTAAATGTCATGCCAGTGTTGGTTTTGCTTAATAGCCTTATGAAACTGTAGCATACCTTATAAACTATTATTTTTTCCTCATTTTGCAAAGGTTGTTTTGTTTAAAATTCTGTTTTTCCAAGTTTTACTCATGCTTTACAATTGTATCCCTGTCAATCATTTCACAGAAATTTCTCTTGGTTTCTAGTGTATAAGTTTAACTTGTATTATGTTGGCAGAGACTTCCTGTAGAGCCATAAATTTGGTTAGTTTTAGCCTCGCTTTGTGAAATGAACTGATGATTATAAAATTCTTTCCTTCCAAGATGGGCGAGATGGCTTTTTAAAATTTATTGTGAAGCTGCATTTCATACTCTAAATCCAGAAAAGACACAATACTGGAGTTCTGCTGAGTTTGAGTATAATTAAAACTGTTCAAAGTACTTCTCTGAATAACCCTCATAATTAATCATCCTGTTGTTTGCTGAAAAGGATGGTAAGATAGGAAGTTGGTTATAGACTTAGAACAGGGTTATTTCTGTGCCTGTACATTTTTCATTCTTCATATATGTGGCTGGAAGTTGTCTGCCTTTCTGAACTATATGGGCCAAGTCTGGATTTTTACTTTTGTTGTCAGACCTTTCACGAGTACAAATGTGAGAATATAGGTTGTTTGCTTAGAATCAGATGTCTGCACCTTGATTATTTGGTTGTGAATAAACAAATGCTGATAGAAGCAAGATTTTATTTGAGAGTAAGGTGTAATTTGAATTATCATCTTTTTAAGGCAGTGTTTCCTCTTCCTCTTGTCTTCTGGCTCTAGGTTAAGATTTAAAGGAGTAAGATAAAATTAAGCTGCTTTTCTTCACTTGTGAGCTACTGTCAGGGCTGCACCTTCTCCATGAGCTTAAAGATTTTTCTACAGGACCATGAGAGAGCAGGGAATTGGTGCACACAGAATGGTATACTTAAGACTAATGGCAGTTTCATATACTTTTTCTGCTTTTTGGTGCTTCAGGGTTAGACTGCTGCGTTGCAATATGTGTAGGTCACTGCCTAAATACACACAGATGAAGCTAGTGTGGGATACCAAGGCTGTGTGGAGTACGTGTTATATTTTTAGATGAAGCATGTGACAGTGGTGTTCTGGGATCTGCATGAGCTGCCTCTCTGTCTGTGGGAGCAGGACCAAAGCAAGTCCCAGATTTGTTAGTGTCAAGTGGCTTGGGAGATCTGCTCATATGAAGAGTCAGCAGTTCATGAAATTGTGCAGGACCAATTTAGAATTCCCTTTTTTGTAAAAAGAAAACTGTTGCAGGTGGGATATGTTCCCTAGGAAACGCTATCGCCTTGCTTGTTCTGCGTGCAGCTTGCTTTGAAGTTGTTCTGCTTTGAAGGATATGGCAAATTCCCTCTTTTCTCGGTTTGAGAAAACTGGCACCCAAACATACAGAGTTTGATTGATCAGGATATGTTAACTAATCAGCAAATCTGGTTTATAGTGTCATGCTGACAGTGTTACTTCATAGATTCTGAATTTACAGGGGATAAGGATAAAGTTGTCTGTTGTCGTTAGTATCTCAGGAGGATGGTCATTACTGCTGAGATTTTTAGTCAGTGTAATCCTAGACTTTCAGTGATTATTTAAGGGCAACTTTGAGATGGGTACAGAAAAGCTCCACATAAAGAGTAGTAGTACCAAGTGATAGTAAGGAGAAACAGTTTGAATTGATGTCATGGTTTAAGCAGGACAATTGAAGAAGTGGTACTTCAGTTAAGATGTAGTCCTTCAGCTTACTGTTTCTGGAAGCTGAATGCAGACATCATGGAACAGCAGTCAAAATTTGAACTTGCCATTCTGTAATTCTAATTTAGTGAATTAGTTGGAAGAGTAGAAACTTGCAGTTTTTCTTTTTCCTGCTGTCCAGTCTGTCAAAACTTATTTTAGTTTGGAAGAAGGCAAACTAACTGCCAGAGTTGCACAAGAATGTTTGTAAACGATGCAATACTAATATTGAAACAAACTTTGAGCCAGGACTTGAAAAGCAAGAATGTTGCATGCAGACTTGCTTACTTGCAAGAGCATGAACTGTTGAGTAGATCTTGAGAGGACTTTATTCCAGCTTGATTGTTCGGATTTCTGGAGCATGAATCCTTCCTTGTCCTTCAACACTTGTCTTTATCAGTAGAAGGCACTGAGACATTTTGGACATTTATCTGGAGTATTTAATAGCCAAATCTAAGGCAGTTGTGGTACTCTTCACTTTAAAGCCTTAATTAAAGCCTAATTCTACAAATTTGTCAGCGTTAAGTTATCACTTGGAAACAAATGATGCTAATGCTGTCTACATCCAAGGGGAGATTAAAGTCTGTTGGTCAGCATTTCTCTGCAGTGATAACTAATAACACCAGTAAACAAGGAAATTACTGCTTGTTTATACTGCTTGTTTATACCCGTGTGCCTTGACAAATTAGAATGTTCTTAAATAAATCTGTTTTGAAAAAAAAAAAACCAAACAAAAAACCCGCCTCACTTTTGGTGGTTTGGGTAAATATGAGCTTATTATTTAGGGGTTTTAATTCAAGTTTTTTAAGCCTTTCTATTCCATGTTTCCTTGAGCATTCTCTTAATGATGTGTTAGTTTTTGTAACACCAAGTGTTTGTGTGTTAAAGTCCTGTAATTGCTTGTCAATATTTTTGTTAGACTACAAGAATTAATTGCATGCATTTTACTCTATAGATTTTGCTTTCTCTACTAGAGTGTGTTCGGGTTAGCCTGAGGTGTAAGGTGGCCTGTAGTATTTGTTACCAGACAGTGGCAAGAGCATGAGGTAGACTCAGTGCTTACATCCTTAGTATTTCTGAGCCTATACATCATATACTAGTGTTTTAGGGCAAAATAATCCTGAGCTTAGTGGGATTTTAATTTGGATTTTGATCTTTTAATACCAGTCACATATTCCTTAACATGTATGCAAATACTTGTTGCTAGAGTGTTACAAGATAGAAATTGAGGCTATTTATTTGAAACTCAAACTCTTTTGTTTTTGAGGGTCTGTTTGGGGTTTTTTATTACTGTCTTTTTTATTAATCTAATGAAAACTATATTGGTAACTGTCCTATTTTTTGGAATTGCAGAGTGAGTGAGGTCGATAAAACTTTCTGATTATCTGTTGCTGCAGTTGCAAACATTAAAAATAATCTAAAATATAATGCATAAAGACTTGGAAGCTACTGATGTCTTAAAGTCTTCAGAGAGATACATGAACCTACAATGGTTTGTTTTAAATGAGAATAGCAACAACTCATTTTCTCCACATCTTAGATTTAGGGTATTGTCCAAATTTGTTTTCTGCTTTTCTCATAGTCATTGAGGACATACTAGTTCTTCAGATCTGAAAGAAATGAAAAAGCAATACACTACGTTTCAGTGAGGCACACACAACAGCCATCCTAGCAGCATGCAGTTAGTTGGACATGTACTGACTGCAAAATGCATTTCCACCAGGTCAGCTTTATAGACACATGTGCACTTCTCGGTAGTTTTTTTAGCTGTTTCAGCTTTGTGCCACATTTAATCCAACTGTGACCTCCTCACCCTTGGCTGGCCAGTGGAGAGTCCTGTCTAACACAAGTTGAGCAGTGTTACTCTTGGTTCGCTGTTTCAGCTGCGAGGTCACATTGACAGGCAAGGCTTGGGATTAAAATAAACTATATTAAGTTTATTTTGTGGTAGTGCTTATCCTCCATCAGGCAGGTTCACTTTCAGCTGGGTGCTATAAAAACCAGACTAGGTTTGAAGGTGGTGTGTAACCGGTGTTTGTGACAGGCGGGTGAGGAAGGAGATGTGAAAGAGGGTGATTATGTTTTGCAATTGTGATAGGGTTTGGTTTTAATGTTGTTGCAGACTTCTGTTTTCTGTTGTGTTTAATGAGGTATTGGAAGGTTTAAAAAAGTTGGCTAGAACTTTCACCACTTGTGCAAGGAAATAGAAGAAAACACATTAAGTTATTGGCAAACTTAGTGCACTGATTCATCTGTTTAGCACATGAAAAATGGTAAATTTTTGTCATTAGTCTTTTTCTAACTGTTTTCACATGAAGTGCACTTTACAGGTAGCACCAGTAAACAATCAGGTGATTTTAAGAGAGGGCAAAAATTGGAGTGGGTTAACATGAGAGGTGTTGGGCACTTTTGGCTATCACTGAGGATGAGTGGAATTGATGTGTAGAGAAGGCAGCATTGGTGGGTGTGCAGAGCTAACCCGTCACATCAACATCATACCCAGGCCCTGCAGTTCACAGCTGAGGGGTACTGGAACGGTCTCAGCGGGTTGTGCTTCAGCCTTATCTGTACCGCATCTCCTCTGAGTATGAAAACAGGACTTCAGTCTGCACAACTTTCAAGAGGACAGCTTTCAGAATTATTAAAACCATTCTTAAAGAGGAGATATGTTTCTCTAATATAGTTACAAGCAGAAGATATTACTGCAGCATCAGAAAAAGAAAACACATTCCTGTAATTAGAGCTCTTTGGGTATTGATTTATTGTGAAAATAAAGATGTTAAAGACCTGTTTTGCAGTGTGTAACTTGTGAGATGTGTGATTGGTATTTCTCTTTTGCAGAACCAAACTGAAGAACCATGAATATGAAACTTTAGATCAGTTGGAGGCTGATCTGAATTTGATGTTTGAAAATGCCAAGCGGTACAATGTTCCCAATTCTGCCATCTATAAAAGAGTACTGAAAATGCAGCAGGTTATGCAGGTATGTAGAGTAGAACAATCAAAAGGATATAACTTCACGTGTGAATTTATTTACCTAATGAATATTTTTCCCAAATGATTTTGAACTAGACCTGTATTTGCAGTAGTATTTTTTAGCTTAGGGGAAGTATAGGAATGAGAGCATCATAGAATGATTTTTCTTCAGGTAAGTGCTGCAGTCTGAAACGGCATTGTTTCCACACTGGTTGCTCAAATTTTTTTCTGACGGTTAAAAAGAATTACACTGCTGTTTTTTGTCAGCCAACTTTATATTAAGTAAATCACTGGAAATACTTTGGACGGTGGTTTAGTCTCAAAACCTGTAGTTGCATCTTTTTTGTGTATCTGATCTATTCTGATGTTTAATACTGTGCTGGAAATGTCTGGCAGTGAGTTTGGCTTCAGAGATTTGTTCTTTTTTCAGGCAAAGAAGAAGGAGCTTGCTAGGAGAGATGACATTGAGGATGGGGACAGTATGATTTCTTCTGCTACATCTGACACTGGAAGCTCAAAAAGGAAAAGGTGTGCACTTCTGTAGTTCCTGCAGACCATGACATTGCTATAGCTTTTATTTGTTAAAGAGAATATTAAACAATGTTTTCTAGCATTTGTGTAAGGATTTATAATTCTGAAAACATCATTAAGTATTGTTTCAAGTTAATTCAAAACTATTTGCCGACTTTATTTTCCGTTTTTTGGGCTATTAATTAGTTGGCAGTTGTCAACACAACTTCAGTGCAGCACATGGCATGGACACTGTAGTTGCACTGAATTAAGTAATTTTGCCAGTGCATATCAGGATTTTTATTTGTGTGTTACCTTTTATAGCCTGGTGTGTGGACTGTCTTCACAGGTTGTTAGCAGCTATTGCTTCTTTTCTACTACTTCTCCAATACATGACTATGTGGTTTGGGTAGCAATTTCAGAATATAATAATCAGAGTTAACACTGTAGCTGAATAATTTTTTTTTAATTTTATAGTATTAGTCTACAAATATTTTTGTATGGTGAGGTTTCCTGGCACAAACATTTTCATTTTGGATGAACTCTGCTTGGAGAGTTGTCATCATTAATGCTAAGGGACTGCTCTGCTCTCTGTTCTGAATTTACACTCTTCTGTTACTTACCTGTAAATAGCTATGCCAAAGAGGGTATTTGACAAATAGATAAACTGATAATAGGTTGATTATTCCGGATACTGTAACGTAAACAAAATTCACCGTGATTTAAAATATACTTTTTAGTGAGCAATAATGGTGGTTTATGGAAAGTATTCTTTAAAAGTGAAAGCTGTTGTGTAATTAATGCTAGTGATGCATTTCAGTCTGAGGGATCGTTTCTCTAGTCTGCCTCATGGTATCGTTTGAAATAAGTTCTAACTGCTGATAATATTGCAATAGTAGCAACTGCCAGCGTAAAACTGTAATTTCAACATCTTTCTTTGTTGTAGCTTTTTTTGGTGAACCTTCAGCTTTCTGTATTTTTAGTTCTTTGTTTTATCAAAGTAACAGCAGTTGTGGGGGGAAGAAGGGAATAAAATAGACCATCAGCAAAGATTCACTTAAGAGCAGTCAAGTAAGTGCAACAATGTGTGTTCGTAAAAAGTCTGCAGAGAGAAAATGTTAACATGGATTTAGGAGGTGGTACAGTCTAGGGATGATAGGAAGAAGAAATGTGGAATGGTAAGACAGACTACAGTACCAAATGAATATCAGGTAGGAACAAATTGCCAAAAAGTGGCTAGTTTTGTGATCTTCAGATTCAAAGAGGTGTACTAACCCAGTCAAGCAAGTCAAACTGACATCAGTGTCCTTTTAACCTTTGTTGCTTTTGATCATCTTGTGCAAGAGAATACTGAAATGCTTTAAAGAAAAAATCTGTCAGGTCTTGTCATCTAAGAACAGTAAAAAAGAAAGAGTAGTGCTCACAGATATGGGAAATCAAAATCATTTTATTTTCTTCATGCATAAGGAGAACATGAATATGCTTTTGATGTTGTTAGTTCAGTGTTTGTCATTACTTTCACTTGCTGAAAGATAGGAAATAAAAGAAGATTGTAAATGCTGTGATAGCAGAAGTGAAACACTGAGAGGAATTCCTAAATGTTGCTGAAAAAGGCAACTAATAACTCAGGCAAAATGTGTCCCATTGGGAAGTAATAGTGACACAGAAGGAAGTTACCTGGATGTACCCTTTTATGTGTCAGATGCATGGCCTTTTACTATTTCTGCTTTGGTTTTGCTTTACCTACTTTCATTGAGCTAAATGTTAAAATTTGGAAGTGTGCTAAAATGTGGAATTCAGAAGCATGTCTTTGTCTTGGCATTGCTCATCTGCGAGTGTGAACCACTAACTGATATTTTCAGCACTGAAGATAATGCAGGAAAAAAGTTTTTAACCTATAGAAGATATATTTTGAATTTTCTCACATAATGTGACATTAATTTTCAGGAGTTATATTGCTGACCTTGCCAAGGAGCAAGAGGTATCTGAGGCATGATGCTGTGCTGGATTTCACATATTTTAAATGTAGGAGGAAAAGATCCAGATGATGGAAAATCTGTGATGCTGTCTGGTTTCTAGCAAGTTGTACAGTGATGTTTTGCACATTCTGCAGATGAAGATAGTTTTTGATGATGTCATCATTTTTACAGATAGTATAGTCAAAGTTCTAACTACTTGAGTAAAAGTAAGAGAGATTGAAATTTGGAAGCTGGTTTAAAAGTGCTTTGTAGAGAGTGCATTTCCAGGAGTGCCACAGTGTCTGAGCTTAGACATTATTAACGTAAGTTTTCCTCTCGCTTATCTGATTTGCTTGTAGATCATGTAGTGTATCTACAGGGAGCCACACATAACTGTTTTTCCTTATAAGCTGTGTCTTGGGTGTGCTGCCAGATTTCTTGAGACAACCATAATAGCTACACAGGACTATAAGATTTGTGTACATGGCCATTTTCTACTTGGGTTTGCAGTTTTGGCAAGCTTTGGTAAACTTTATTGTCTTGTAACTTCATTTGACTGGGATTGACAGATGTTTAAGCAATTCAGACCCTTCTTTATACTACATTCTTGATGTTCTTATTTTCTTGTAACTGGTACTGAAGAAGATACAGAATAACTGAGATAAATATCTGAAGTCTTTGATATTCTGCATTCAGCAGAAATAGTCATAAAGATGCTGGCTAAGGGGGTTTTCCTTGATTGCGCTAGATCTCGAGGTCTTGGATGCAGATGCCTAGTCCTGACTGATCTTTTTTCTCTGCAGCTGCAAAGTGATTAGAGTTCTTTTTGACCTTTGCACATTTGAAAACTACTTATTTTTCTATTCTTTAGAACACTCAACATGATTGAGAGAAAAATCCTATTTTAAAGTTGGTTTCCTCTTTATTTAGTGCGCTGCTGGTTATGATGCTGTCGTTATTTACAAATGGACTAATGTTTCTAGTACATTGTCTTGATGTTGAACATCTTGTGTGGTGCTTGTGGTTGTTTTTTCATGGTAGAGGATAACGTCATTTTGATATTAACATTGGAAGTGGGGAAAGCATTTTTTCTTTTCATTTTTGTTCTTCTCCTTAACCTAACAGTAAAAAGAATATCCGAAAGCAACGAATGAAGATTTTATACAATGCAGTTCTGGAAGCTCGAGAACCAGGCACAGGCAGACGGCTCTGTGATCTGTTCATGGTTAAGCCATCCAAAAAGGACTATCCAGACTATTATAAAATTATCTTGGAGCCAATGGACTTGAAAATGATAGAACACAACATCCGCAATGATAAGTATGTAGGGGAAGAAGCCATGATTGAAGACATGAAGCTCATGTTCCGAAATGCAAGGCATTATAATGAGGAAGGCTCCCAGGTACTGTTTTGATCCTGCAGTCACTCTTACCTCTGCTTCTTTGCAGACATATAAGTTATGGTAGGATGGTTTAGCTTTGACTGTTACTCACATTATTTATGCTATTGTTCATTGAACTAAAATAGAAATACGACTTTCTTTCTGCTGATGTTTTAAATTCTCTGTCTATAGTTGGATAAATGTGAAATGCAGCAGGCTCCCTTGCAAAGGTTAGATTTATTTCCCGTTAGCTAAACTCTCCACTACAAAGAATGTCAGCTGAATGTTTCCTAGTATGGTTTAAAAAAATAATCCAGTTACTATGTTATCATTATTCATCCTCAGTTAATCACAGGAAGATATTTGCACAGTGAGTAATCATCAGCATATGTTTTGGAGCTCAGAACCACTGAGAAGGGATGTCTTAGTTAGAAAGAAACCATCTTTGATTTTGTAAGGTGGAGAGTGTGGGAGAGATCAGGCTTAGAAGACCTGACTTGTTGAGTCTAGCCAAAGGAGTCTGAAAAGAATATGCTTTTCATTTACAAATAGACTGTAGGGTATGTCTATATTGTGATGTTTCTCAGCCAGCAAGCATGACGTGTTGGAACAGAGTGGTGGTAAGAAACCTCCAGCTATTTCTAATAAGAAACTTGATCAGCTACTGTAAAGGACTTTATGATGAGGTTGCATTCACTGGGATTGGATTTGAAGGCCCAGGAGTACTGTTCTAGTCCATTCTACCCTGTTGGAATCACGATTGCTCAGCAGAACGGTTTGATGAGAAGGTTGATAAGACAACTGCGCCTTGCTGTTTTATAGTCTTTGGAATAGAAATGCGGCTCAATTGGATAATTTATTCAAGATTTATATCTCCCTGATTTAGATTGTCTTGATTAGTTCTGCTTACCTGCATAAGTCTATTAAAGGTGTACATTTGACAAATAAACCCTTCTTTTTTAATCAAGTATTTGGTTTTGCTTTCAGCCTTTTCAAACTAACATGTAAATGTTTCTTGGGGGCTAGTTCTAAACTAGTTTAAACACAGTAAATCTTGTTTTGTTTTGGTTTGGTTTTTGATTACTTTACTGATTAATAGGTATACAATGATGCCCATATGCTGGAAAAGATCCTTAAAGAAAAGAGGAAAGAACTGGGACCCCTAGCTGAAGATGATGATGTTGCATCCCCTAAACTAAAGCTAAGTAAGGCATCCTTGTACATTGCTATGTCTCAGTTCAACACTTCTGAATACCCAGCAATAGAGATTAATGTATTTTCCCTTTAGAATAGAAGATGCGACCTGCAAATTTACACTGACATGCAAAGTAGAATTGTATTTTCAGAATCATGACAGCGATGATGTATTTGCGTGTGTATATAATAGAACTTAGTTGTTACGTATAGCATTTTCTAAGAAAAGTAACTGGGAATGAAGAAAGAATACTTAAGAGTGGTTGGAATGGCTGGCATTTAGTCATGTGGTGTCATCCAAATGTTAGATGCTGCATTACATGGTCAGTAAAACTTCATTAGCACAGTGTGCTGGTGGGATTGCTTACAAGTAAGGTGCTTCTCAGACGGAGTAAAACTCTTCATTTCCCTGGTCAAATATCTGGCTTTTGCACAGAACCATAAAAGAAATGTGAGTTTTATTAGAAAATTATAGAAAAACATGAAAAACACAGAAATTTCCAACAACGTCTGTTCCTAGAGCTGTTACTCTTACAAACTAGACTTGCTACTACTCAAATCTTACGTACCCTTAAAATGTGTTCAAAACTGAGCAAACTGAGAAGGATAAAATTGCACAGAAAGGCTTAAATAAAATAACTCCACAGAGTCTTCTTGAAAATAGAAATGTGTGGCTCTGAGGTAAGGTACAGGTACTAGAGAATTCACAGGCAGAGACCATGCAGTACCATAACAGAGATCCTGAATTAATCAAAAAGATACTCTGATTAATAATCCCATGGGAGGCCTTATTTTACATTTTACCTGTAATAATCCTCTTTAAATTGGCATAAACCTGTCCTAAAGGAATCTGATACTATTTAGAATGCTTAATTTTAGTGGTAGCAAAAACCCTGTGATGACTAGATTTTAACGGCTGTAGAGAGAAATTCATTTAGAGCTAGTAAGACCAAACTGAATGTAGAGGAGTCATTAATAACATTAGGTAGGAAAAGAAGCTTTCTGTGCTTAAGTCTGAAAAGACCTTCAACATAGTAACACATGATTCTGAGGTTGCCAAAAATAACATTGAAAAAAATATTCATACAATTACGAGAAATAAAGGAAGCTGCAACCTGGGATGGGCTCCGTGTCATGGCTCTTCTGCTCATCCCTTAAAGTGGTTCTTCAATAAGCAATTCTCCAGTGGAAAGGAGATGGAAGCTCTGGGTTTGTAATGATTCTTCCCCTCCCACCCCTTTCTGTCTGCTTAGGTAGAAAAAGTGGCATTTCTCCAAAAAAATCAAAATACATGACTCCAATGCAACAGAAATTGAACGAGGTTTATGAAGCAGTGAAGAATTACACGGATAAACGAGGCCGGCGACTGAGTGCCATCTTCTTGAGGCTGCCATCTCGGTCTGAACTTCCTGACTACTATGTAACCATTAAAAAGCCCGTTGACATGGAGAAGATCAGAAGTCATATGATGGCAAATAAATACCAGGATATTGATTCCATGGTAGAGGACTTTGTAATGATGTTCAATAATGCTTGCACATATAATGAGCCAGAATCTTTAATTTATAAAGATGCCTTGGTCCTGCATAAAGTTCTGCTTGAAACTCGGAGAGAAATAGAAGGAGATGAGGATTCTCATGTGCCCAATGTCACTTTGCTAATTCAGGAACTTATCCATAACCTTTTTGTATCTGTTATGAGCCACCAGGATGATGAGGGTAGATGCTACAGTGACTCCTTAGCTGATATTCGTGCTGTGGATCTCAACTTCCCAAATAAACCTCCTCTGACTTTTGATATTATCCGAAAAAATGTTGAAAATAATCGCTATAGGAGATTGGACTTGTTCCAGGAGAATATGTTTGAGGTACTGGAGAGGGCAAGGAGAATGAACAGGTGAGTGAAGCCCTATTTTTCAGGCCCTTTGTCTTAACACATGAGTTTTATGTGTTAACATTAGGCAAAGGCTGAAGTTTTTTTAAAGTGGTTTTTTTCCTTGATATGGGTGTTTAGAAAACGAAATCTCAAAAACTGTATCAGATCAGCAGCAGAATGTATGCTTTCATTTAAAAAACAAGGAAAAAGTTAGGTTTCTGTCCTGAGAGAATTTTTATGTTAATCTTCCAGAGGCACACCTCATGAAAACCAGGTTTGTGCTAATTTTCAGATTGAAAAATGAAGAGGAGGAGCTGTTCACTGACTGCTTGACTAGTGAATTACTCTTTTGGAGCAATCAGAGTTGAATGAGTTATAGTAATATTGTGCAAAAACTATGAGCACTTGCAGCTTACTGCAGTGTTTTACTTGAATTAGGTAGGATACTTGGGGATGTGCAGTTGAGATATTGACTCTGAAGGCGGGGGCATAAACAATCATATTAAAACATCTACCAACAGGACCATGGGTAATTAAGTCAGTTTTGTTAATAATACTGTTATTATTTAAGTTTTAAGAAGTTAACAAATTGTAGAGATCCAGTGGCGAGCAGGTTTTTTTTGTTGCAACTAGTTACCTTTGATTTTTCTGGTGTTTCAGGACTGGTGTATACATTAAATACTGTTTTGGGTAAACTTTAATACAAACTGGCAGCAGAGTAGCAGGTGGAGCATGACTTGCCAGTGTCTACTGCTGCTTATACTAAGCAAACACAAAAATGGATCGGTAGTGTGAAGCTTTAGTTTTATCACCAAGTGTGGCAATTGATGGCTCAGTGTTTAGGATCCTGTTTGAGTCTGCATAAACTGTATTTCTGCCTTGTTGTACGTATTTTTGTACAGGACTGATTCGGAGATTTACGAGGATGCAGTCGAACTTCAGCAGTTCTTTATTAAAATTCGAGATGAACTTTGTAAGAATGGAGAAATTCTTCTGTCACCCGCTCTCAGCTATACCACCAAGCATCTTCACAATGATGTAGAAAAGGAAAAGAAGGAAAAGCTGCCCAAAGAAATAGAGGAGGATAAGCTCAAAAGAGAGGAGGAGAAGAGAGGTAGCTACTTACTTTTCATTAATTTTAAATGCATTCATTGAAAAATGTACCTGTGGATATGATGTATGCTGTGCTGTTGCTACAGCTTCGCCTCCTGAAGGAACCTTAACAGTCTGGTTGTCTGCCAAGGATCTTGTAATTTAAAGTTACAGAAGATTTATTTTGTTTTGATCATTATCAGCCAGGCCAGATGGCTTTAAGGAAAGAGGTATATGTAGATACTAACTGTATGTAAACTCTAATCGGAACACATTGGAGTACAGTAGTCTTATTTGAAGGATATTGTAAAAGAAAACAATAGTTTTTTGCTACAGCTTTCTGCTGATCTTAAACTTAGCAATGACTGTTCCAGTTGATCTTTAAGTCATTTCTTTTTTGGCAAATACTGGGGGATTTTTATGTGCTGATGGTGTTGTCCGTGATCATGCTTTTTAACACTGCTAAAGAAATGGTATTTAAGTAAGTCTTTTGCATTACTTACTTGGCAAGTATGAGTGCGAAGAGGAACGGGCTTGCACTATTTTGCAGGGCAGGAAACCTACTGTGAAGGTCCTTTGTGTTTCACTCTTCCTGGCTGTTAGTGTCAGTATAATGGTTATAGAGCACGTCTAGGGGAATGGATAAAGCTCTCTAATTGCTCCTTTCCACAGATGGGAGCAGAGCTGTCAGCTCTTTGTCCTTAAATTGTCTTTCTAACATGGTTCATCTTCCCACATAGCACTAATGTCAGCAGCTGTGAAGTCTGGTTGCTCCAACTAGGCTGAGTATTATAAGGGGACAAGAGCTGTGATGCCTTTTTTTTTTGTCTTCCTCTGAGAGCTGAAAACCCCAAAGGAAGCAAAAGGTGCCATTCTGAAGGCTTCAGAGCTCAGGGCTGTTACTGAGTTTCTCTTATCCAGTTGGGAAGGCTCAAAAAAATTCAACTGAAGAAGGGAAACCCACCCTTGAGCAGCACCAGTAGCAGAAAGGCTAGCAGCACAAAACATACTTAAACTTGTCTTCATGCTGAAAGTCAATGACAGAGGGACATATCAGGTATCGTGGTACTTCTGCACTCGGGAGGGCATGAGGGGATTCGTATCAGTAATCTTGGCTAACATGGAAATGTGGCATTACTAACATCTGTTTTTCCCTTCTTGAAATAAGAAGCTGAAAAAAGTGAAGATTCTTCTGGATCAGCTGGGCTGTCAAGCTTGCATCGGACCTACAGCCAGGATTGCAGCTTCAAGAACAGCATGTACCATGTAGGAGATTATGTGTATGTGGAGCCTGCTGAAGCCAACTTGCAACCTCACATAGTCTGTATTGAGAGGCTGTGGGAAGACTCAGCTGGTAAGGATGTCTTTGCTATAGGAAAACAATATGGTGAAAGTTCCTATTGCTATTTAAAACTTCCAGTTTGAGCTTTTTCTGTGCAGAAGTATGTGTGGAATGGCGAGTATTTTTCATGTTTCTGAGTTGCTTTGTTCCAAAGAATATTACAAATATAAAGTTCTTGGATCAGCACATGCTTTTTTTGTTGTTCATCTCTACCTACCTTTAAATATTACGTGTCCCAGAGAGCAGGGTCTTTGAAGTGGGATGGGCTCCTCGTAATTTAGGTGCAGAACACCACATGGGGGTTTTCTGTGCTGAGAAATTTAAACCAAAGTTGGGCATGTTTAACCACAAATGTTCCACAGAACAGCTCAGTTTCAGAACTTGCCTTTGTTAAATTCCAGAATTGACCTGAGTCTTGCATTTCCTAGGCCAAATCAAGCCATAACAAGTACTGTTTTGGTTTTTTCTCATCAGTGATGCCTTCTGTTCGCAGCAGGTACTTCTCTTAAGTGTAAGGAAGGCTAGAGATACGGCAAGATAAGCATGGTGCACTCTCAGCAATCCTGGAAACTACAGTTGATCAGAACTACAGTGGGGTATAATGCAGTTAACCATTTTGGTTGCACTTTTTTTTAAAGGGATGGAAGGAATGTGCTATAAGGGCAGATCAAAAAGACCATGACTTAAGTTTGGAGGGGAGAAATGTAAGGCAGGATATAATTAAGGTTTGCAAAATTATGAAATGGATAGATAAGCTGAATGCAGAAATACTATTAAACAAATCCACCAATACTAGAGTTAGAGGGCACTCATTGACACTAGTAAATCAGACTGAAACGTGGAAGTGTTTAGCTTTTTAATACAGTGGATAGTGAGCCTCCTGGCTTTCCCAGGAGCTTGTGGAGGCAGATTATATCAGCAGGCTCAAAAAAGGGTGAGACAAGTCTGTCTACAACAGGTCTAAACCAAATAATGAAGGGAATAACCAGCAAATAATAGCATGATAAAGAGAACAGCTCTCTAGCACCCCTGTCATGCTCACTCACTTGGATGCAGTGTGTTTGGGTAGATGGACCAGTTGGATGATTCTTACATTCATTTGCCTGTGATGGAGAAAGGGAATAGCACTTCTAATTCTGGCTCAGTCTACAGATTACAGATTTTCATAGAATCGTAGAATAGTTAGGGTT